GTGGTGAAATTTATTTATTACTTTGAGTTCCACTCAAAATTTAAAAGTAAGTTATTAAGTAGCAATCTTATGTGTACAGGAAGAAGGGAAAACTGCAGGTGAGTAGATGAAGCTATAAAAACATGGAACAAGCATAAGAAGGGGAATATAAAGATTAATACTAGAATGCCACGAGTAAATCAATAAATCCCTCTGAATATGTGCCACCAGCATTGACAGTCACACCAGTAGCCTCAGCACGACACAGACAGTACACAGGTCCATAACTATACCAATGTTGACCATCAACCCCTCAGGATGTGAGGAGGCTGGGACAAAAGCAGGGGGATAAGCCTCGTCCCCTCAGGATCACACTGGCGAGCGGGGAAGAGAAATGGCAGGTTATTCGGCAGGCGAAAAACTTAGCAAGGAGCGAGGCATTTCGGGATGTACCCCGGTATTCATTCACCCAGATCGCACGGTAATATAGAGGGAACAGCACAAGAAGCTCCTGTAGGACTTGAAGCAGAAGAGGGAGGAGTCAAGGAAGAACGGGGACGGGTGTACATGGGTTATACTCAGGGGGACGGTAGTGGAAGCAAGTGCGCCGACACAGGGCCAGGGGACAACAGTGCACCCTCCACCCGCTCTTAACCCTCACCCGGTAGGCAGCACCAGCTCCACCTACCGGACGGGAGGAGGGGAGCGCCGTGTAAACAATGACATTTCTAACCACACCCTGCAAAATAGTGTACTTAGCAAATGATGCAGCTTCTGAGAATGGGGGTGGGATCGGGGTTACTACTAAGAGCAGATACGTTACCGAGAACAAATTCTGGCTTGAATGTCATGTACACTAATACTGACACGTTTCTCGATGAGAGAGGAGTTTGAAACACTACTAAGAGTACACCAACCAGATATCGTAGGAGTTGTAGAACTGTTGTACAAGAACAGGAGAATCGACCCAGAGGAATGAGAGTTCAGTATTGCTGGATATGACTCATTTACGAACCTTTCTCAAAAAACTTGCAAGAGGGGTGTGGATATCTATGCTAGGCAAGACCTTAGAGCCAGCCAGGCGAGGGTACAGGGAGAGGATGTTTTTGAAGAGTTCAAGTGATGTAAAATTAAATTAAAGGGAGGGGACTTACTTATCGTCGGGTGTATCTACAGATCCCCAAACTGTGGTCCACTAAATCAAAGGAACTTAAGAACCTTAATAAACATTGCAGCAATGTTCAACCCTAGCCACCTCCTTATCATGGGGGACTTTAACTATGGCGACATCGACTGGAGAAACGAGTCCACCCCAAATGACTTGAATAACCCTGCTACTCTTTTTGTAGAAACTCTAAGAGATAATTTTCTGTTCCAACATGTGAGATCCCCGACACATTACAGAGGGGAGCAAACACCCAAGCCACTTGACTTCATCATAACAAACGAGGAGGGTATGGTGGCCAAACTGGAACACCTTGCCCCAGTTGGCACCAGTCACCATATAGTGTTGTCATTCAGATTTAACTGTTACCTAGTTCAGGATAAGGCCAGGCCAAGGTGCAAATATTACAAGGGAAATTACAATGGGATGAAGGAAGAAATGAGTGGTATCAACTGGCCTGACTCATTAAGGCACAAGAACGCAGACACTCCGCTGAATATCATAACTAGTAAAGTGACCCATTTGATCGATAAATATATACCCAAGACTAAACCCAGTGCTTCTAGGAATACGAGGGGATCCTTAAACATGAACCATGCGGCGGTCATCAAAATTAAGAAGAAAACCCAGAAATTCAAGACTTGGGTTGGGTCAAACGATGAGGAAGACAGGAGGATGTATGCAAGAGCCAGAAACCAAGCAAAGATAGAGTGTAGACGGGCTGAAAAGGAGTTCCAGAGGCTGGTTGCAAGCGAGGTCAAGTCAAACCCAAAGGTGTTTTACCGCTATGCAAAGTCGAAATTGAAAACGCAAGTAGGAGTACCAGACCTGAGGCTTGAAGATGGTAGTTACGCAGATTCTGACCAGGATAAAGCCGAGGCATTGAACAGCTTCTTTTCCTCCGTGTTCACGAGAGGACGCAAATAACCTTCCTGCGTTTGAGGACAGACGGTTTGACACAGCACTGACCCACAATGTGTTCACAGAAGAGGGTATTAGAAATAAACTGTCCAGGCTAAAGGTCCATAAGAGTCCCGGCCCTGACATGGTGGATCCTAGAGTGCTTAGAGAGTTGTGCAACGAGCTTGCAGCGCCCCTGAAGATCCTGTTTTGTAAATGCCTGTGTGAACAAATGGTCCCCAGTGAATGGAAAGTGGCTTATGCGAGTCCTTTCTTCAAGAAGGGCGATCGACACTCCACGAACAACTATAGACCGGTGAGCCTGACCAGCAAAATATGTAAAGTACTTGAGAGTATTATCAGAGATGCCGCAATGGAACATCTAATACGAAACAATCTTGTAAAGGATTGCCAACACGGTTTTATGCCGGGGCGCTCCTGCTCAACACATTTGCTCAAGGTACTGGATATCTGGACCCATATTCTGGAACGGGGTGGTAATATCGACAATATTTACCTAGATTTTGCCAAGGCTTTCGACAGCGTACCCCATGAAAGGCTGAAAATCAAACTGGAAGGATAAGGAATTCGGGGGAATGTCCTAGCATGGATAGAAGACTTTCTACATGACCAAAGCAGTGTGTGGTGATTAATGGCACAAAATCATCATCCGTACCCGTCACAAGTGGGGTACCACAGGGCAGTGTATTGAGCCCGCTGTTGTTTGTTTGTTTCATAAATAATATGCCTGACGTTGTACAGTTGTATCCCGCTTTACGCGGTCAATTGAACCCACTGGGTACCGCGTTAAGTGAACAACAGAACATATAGGATTAATTCCAATAGAGACTGGCCCGACCCCCAAACTCCACTTTTTGACGACACAACTATGTTGTAGTAAAAATATTATCTTAACTTTATGATGGTATGCACACACAATTAATAATTAAGAGAAATATCAATAATATTAGGTTTTTTAACACTTACATTAGTAGAAAAGATGGCTGGGCACAAGGGGATGGGGGGTTGGTTCCGAGGCAGAGGGCAGATTATTGGCCCTCACCTGTATCACTTGTATCAATTGTATCACTATCCACCACAGAGGCTTGCAGGGCCTCTTTGTCAAACCCTTCAAAGTCCATATTAGTCCATATCCTCACTATAATTATCACTATCACTGACTTGGGCCGGCTGTGGTGGGTGAAGAACTCGGTAATGTTTTGATGACTGGGCGACCTTGTGCGCATCGTGCCCGCACCGCTTCCCGCGTATATGAGTAGATGAACCGCGTTAAGTGAAATTTCGGTTCTGGCGAGGCACCGCGTATATAAGAAATCGCGTTAAGTGAAACCGCGTAAAGCGGGGTAATACTGTACACTCCTCCATACAAATGTTTGCCGATGATGCCAAGTTATTTCGGGAAATTAAGAACCAAGCTGACTGTGAAGAGCTGCAGAAGGACCTCTGTGGGCTCCAGGAATGGTCGAAGGAATGGCTGCTGAGATTCAATGTCCCGAAGTGTAAGAGGATGCACCTGGGGCGTACCAACGGTAAGGAGGAGTATCATATGTCCCAACGGGATGAAGAAACTGCACTAGTTGAGACTGTATGTGAGAAGGACATAGGTGTGTATGTTGACAATGAGCTGAAGTTCTCGGGCCATTGCGAGAAGAAGGTAAATCAGGCAAATAAATTATTGGGTCTTATAAGAAGGTCATTCAGATATCTAGACGGCCCGTCCCTCGTAACAATCTTCAGGAGTGAAGTGCTTACCCATCTGGTCCCCGAGATATGTTAGGGACTGTCAGTTGGTTGAAAATGTTCAAAGGAGGGCCACCAGACTGGTGCCAGCACTTCGGCACCTCAGCTACCCTGAGAGATTGGAGAGCCTGAACTTGCCTAGCTTATACTACAGATGGGCAAGGGGGGGGACCTAGTTGATGTGTAAAAGCATCTCAGGGGGCACTACTCAGTTGAGCGTCCTTACTTGGAGCTGGCGGACGCTTGCCCCACAAACCGCAAGTCCAGAAAACTGTAAGGGCAAACTTTTTCGGAGCTAGGGTTGTAAACTCTTGGAACAGTCTACCAGAGTGTGTTGTGACTGCACCGAGTGTGAGCTCTTTCAAGACAAAACTTGACCAACATTGGAGCGGGTTCAGGTACATTCAGGAGCCGGTGCATGCCCAGTATTTGCCAACAGTGTGTGACAGAAACGTGACCGATCGCCTGGGCGGCTAGCGAGACGATCTTTTGGTGAAGAAGATAAATGAAAAGGAAAAGTAATCAGAGACGTGACCGATCGCCCAAGCGGCTAACAAGCCGATCAGTGGCGAAGAGGATAAAAGTTTAATAACCTAACCTTACGTAAGTGTTAAACCTTGATTTTTTAAAACATAGCCTAACCTTATGTAAGCGTTAAACCTTGATTTTTTCTAACCTAACCTACCATGACATGTGTTAAACCTTGTTTTTTTTACCTGGTACAGTATATTATTCTCTTATTGATATTTCTCATCTATATATGTGTGTGTGTGCATACCATCATAAAGTTAAGATGTTATTTTTACTAAAACGTACGTATTGTCGGGAAAAAGTGGAGTTTGGGGGTCGGCCCAGTCTCTATTTCAATTAATCCCATATGTTCTGTTGTTCACTTTACGCGGGCCTCCGTGGGTTCAATTGACCGTGTAAAGCGAGGTATTACTGTAACAATACTCTGAATCATTTTATTCTCTATCTATATTAAATCAACAAGAAACACATGCACCAGTAAACTTTCACAGATTATTTAAAAGATTGACCACTTATGGACAATTCATGAAAAAACAAAAATTCTACTGACAGCTCAATCTTATTCAAGAGTCACAGCATCGAAAAGGTATGCCAGGTGTATACAGTATTTGTGACCTTCTGTATAATCTTTCCCACTTATGTTAGGTACAGTAACTCACAGAAGTTAGGTAGATATTTTATAAGTACAGAAGTATACAAATGAAGTTTGACTGCAACATTTTCTAAAAAAAATCTTCATACTCATGGTTATTGTTATTTTCAAACTAAGTAGTTTCCCCTGTAAAAAAATATGGGGCTATAGAAGAATGTACTGTACATAATACACTATGTTATGGTTGAGAGAGAATGCAGTTATGTGGTACAATGAACTAAAGTCTCTAGCAGTCCAAAACAGCAACCCAACATTAATATAGTCCTTAACACAATTGCAAATTTTCGGATCCTCCTCTTAAATTATTATTAAATTTTTCTGAAGTCTTTCATCAAACACATATTATAATTTAACCATAAAAATATTCTTGGAGACTTATGTATAATATCTATACTCCTTTATTTGCAACTTTCAAATATGGTTATAAGTCCAATATGAAATCTATTTCTTCAACATTCTTCAAATGGATCACTTTTTCTAAGACTCAGGCAGTTGCTTACACTTTTCCCTCATCAATGTCTTTCTTCAGGGTCCTCAAGATCTCTCCAGCCTTCTCTAGATTTTCATCCTCCTGGGGATTGATAAAAGAAAAAATTAAAAAATGCGAGTGAGAAACATAAAAAAGGGATACAGTACAGTATAGGGAATGTAGAAAGGAGTGAATGACAAGGAAAAGAAAGGAACAAATGTACAAAGTCTGCCTCATATGTATTCCAGCTGTTAACGTAGGTTTGATGTACAAAAAGACTGATTACAGGACAACTTATTTCAAAACCTATAATTGTAGATGCATATGCAAGACTACAGTATAAGATACAGAGCAGTTCATGAAACAAATTAAGGTACAACTTTAAAGAAAAAGATAGTAATTTCCATTTAAAGAAAATAGTAAAAGTTTCATGATGTCCCTCTAAACCCCAAGCTTGTCAGATTACCAAGTATAAACAAATTTTCTAGAGACAGTCTTTGGTCATTATGTTGAAAGTGAAGAAAACCCCTACAAAAACAGAGACAAGACAATGTTTTATTGTGGGGTAACCAAAGGGTCAATATCACCCAAAAATGACATGTGTAACAATGACTAGTGTCCCAAAATAATCACAAACTGCTCAAGAAGCTATTTACATTCAGAATTATGATCCCTTAAAAAATAGAAAACTAATATTAAAACTGCTGAAAGGGAACAATACCTAAAATAATTCAACACAGTAAACGATGATGAAGTATATCTGTTTTGACAAAGTATATCTACTGGATAGAACCCTGGATAGGCAATAAAAGACACAGTACTAAAATCACACAGTAACCCCCTATAAAAGATTGGTTGACTCTTTTGCTATGTTTGCACAAATGTATTAGCTTAGTTATAACAAGTCTTACATATTGACAATAAACTAATGTGCATAATAAGTGTTAAAAGACTGAAATTTCAAGGAATCTTTACAAAGCTTCACTTAAAAACATAATTCAGGAAAAACATTTAACTGACTTTTATGAAACAGAAGCGAATGTAGTTCTCTCCAATGTCACCATGTTCAGGAGAGTAGAAGGCTGATGGTGGAATACCCTGAAGCTTGCGGTTACGAGACAGCCACTTAACAAATCGGAAGTCTTTGCGTTCATTGGAATCACCACCTATATCAATCTTACTTGCTGCATTGACAGAAAAGAAAATATATTATTTTCTGTAAAAAATAATACAGTAATACAGAGTCTCCATTAGCCGGAATCCCTCAAACCCAGAACTCTGAGAGCCGGAATTGAAATTTTCTTGGAAAATCATTCCCAAAGCCGGAGTTTTCCAGAAAATTCCGGCTCTGGGAACGATTTTCCGAGGAACACATTTTTAGGAAAATTCCAAGGTAATTTTCCCAATGCCCAGAAAATTCCAGGGATGGGGGATATTTTTCCGGATTCGAGAGATGTAATGAGCAATTTCTGGAACTTCCGAGAACATTCTTCCGTTACCCTGAAAATTCCGGGGATGACGGAATTTTTTTCAAGTTTGAGAGTCATCTCGTTACCCAGAAATCTCCCATTCCCGGAAGTGCTCTGCACCAATTGTCCCATCCAACGGTGATACCACTACATACATACATATACTTTTCTTATCCAAAAAATTCTAGGTTTGTAAACTTTCAGGTACTGTACTTTTAATGCGGTTGACTCACTGTAAATTTATGTTTATTTAAATATGAGACTATCAAAACCAAAACCCTAAACTGTACTGACAAATTCTTCATGCTGATTTATCATCCAGCAAGTGGAGTACTTACTGCTTGTATTTAACATAAATATCTAACATCTAATGAGGAAATATGAATGACAAATTCTAAAACTATTTTTTCCAAATTAAATCGAAGAGCAGTGACCACAACAATATCTGATCCAGAAATTATACTCTACAGTTACATTTAAGGGTTACCAACCATAAAAATGTGCTTGAAGACTGCATGTAGATGTTACACTGAATTTTAGTTGGATAAACTATCTCCAACTGAATCATCATTATCACCAGTTTACTGTCACAAACACACATACATATATATACTGTACACTTATATATACACATGTATAATACACACACACACCACACACTCTTATTAAAGAGTGAGCTCAGCAGCCTCTTCACGGAACAGGAAATGTTGCCTACATGAAATGCTGCATGCTTGCAATTCAGGCAGTAATTGACACATGTTCCTGTGATGTTTTTTGTCAAAACATAGGTCTAGAGGTGCTTGAAAAAAATAATAAAAAAAAGGCTACTTGTACTGCGAATAATTCTTTGAAGTACTGGTAAAATTTCATCACGGACACCTATTGCTTATCGTGGATATATCCGTGATTGATGCCAAATAGGTTAATGAATCCTCCATCAAAGTCAGAGAACAGTAACAATAGCAGACAGACAAAGTAATAAACATCAAAGCAACTCAACTCTACAGTAAAAAAGATAGATTATTTTTTCAAAGTTGAAATTGTAATGTATCATATGGTATATCACCAATATTATGCATCGCTTACTTATATTCCGGACATCAGCCAAGATGAAATACCCGCCCTCTGGAACTATGGGATTGAGTCCAGCCTCAGTGAGAATCTTAACAATATTATTACGCTTCACTTCAAGCTCTGCAGGCAGTGATTGGAAATAGCAGTCAGGTGTTCCATACCGTTGAATTTCTATTTCAAATCCTTGACCCACAGCCTCCTGCAAGATGATAGAGTACAGTAAACCTCAACAGAAATATTGTCTGATATATAAGAACATACTGTAATGAAAGAAAACAGATGAAAACAAATTTCCAAAGGAAAGCTTAAAAGACAGTAAACCCTCTACATTCATGAGGGTCACTAGTCTATTCTTGGAAGACCTCACAAATGCAGAATTTGAAAATGAGGATACAGTACTTTGTTTCAATAGGTAAAAAGAGTGTTTGGTTCCATCATCAGATCGATAATTGGTGGAAAAAGCACACATCTGCTCTTTGTGGCCACTGAGGTACAACTGACTCTAGAACCAGTCAGTATATTAATGGTTTATTAATGTAACAAAATGAACATCAAACTTTATTTCAAGAGTTACTTCGTGTAATATTGTCTAAAACACACCCGTAAAGATACCTTCTGGAGTGTGTGTACCTTCATGTTGCTTGCTCACTGGTAATCATCATAACATATCATTCTATTCACACTTTCTACTCACATATATTTGAAGAGCAGTGCTATCCTTGCAGCTCTCTCATGTATCTATTACTAATCTTTCAAATCTTTCTAAATTAAATCCATTTCATTAAACCCTTATCCTAAAATATATTAAAATTTACCTGAACAGGTGTGGTACAAGTATAAACTGAGTGTTGATGAACTACTTGAAGCCCTTTCATCAAATTGGCAGGGCCATAAGCCCATCCAATTTTCCAACCAGTCACGGAAAAGGTCTTTCCAGCTGAGCCGATGGATATTGTGCGCTCCCACATTCCTGGTAGTGTGGCTGCATAGAAAGATGAAAAATGAATCAAACAATTTCTATGGTATCTTACAAAAGTAAAGTTAACATCACTAATAAAAGTATGCACATAAATTTCCAAAATGTGTCCAGTCAACTCTTATAGCAGAAAGTTGTGCATGGTAGCCTAAAAGCTTTAATTCATTTTAGCCTATAGTATTTTCAAGCAGCTTTGGAAAATTAATTTCTAACAATAGCTTTATCTTATACAGTGGTCCCTCGGCTAACGAACGGTTCAAGTAACGAAATTTCGGTTAACGAATTACCTCCCATTAGGATCTTCAATTCGGTTAACAAACAAAACTTTGATTAACAAAATCCTTACGACAAACACGTTTTGTTGTGAGCGTCAGCAGATCAGTTAATGGGCTAGTCTGCCAATTCAGTAATCTGTTCTATGTTTACATTCGTTTCCAGTGGAGTAATTATCAAGAAAGTTGTGCTCTTTAATATTTTTTGCATTTTTTATACTAAAATTATTAATCATTTTAAAATTTAGTTAACATATTGATAATACATGTATATGCAGTACAGGGAACTAGTTTCTTGTGTGCCCATCAGCCGCTTGATTCACCCACCAGGCGTCAGTTTGGCTTTGTTTACAGTGGAGTGAACATCGATTTTGTTGGTGTCTTGAATATTTTTGTATTTTTACATTAAAATTATTGGTCATTCTGAAATTTAGTTAACATATTGATAATATATAGCGCAGTGTTGATTTAAATAAAATAATCTTTAATTACACCAAGTGAACTTAAAATTTTATTGGTGAAATGACTGCATCAAGCCTGGATCCCCTGAAAGGTGATTTCTCCTCCATCCCCACTTCCTTCTCTTCTCCCTTCTCCTCCACCCCAACTTCTAATTCCCATCATCATCAACCAGGAACCTTTTACATACACACCTTAAAGTAAGTGTACTTTACTGCATTTTTTTTTTACTTTGTATGTACTTTTCTGTGAGCTGGAACCTATTACAGTGGGGTATGCTATAACGAATCTAATTGGTTCTAGAACCTTGTTCGTTATAGCATTCGTTCGTTATAGGATTAATCCGTTCCAGGCCCCCAAATACAACCACTTAACACTGAAAAATATAATATAAAATTGTAAAAATTGTAAAAAAGTGCATAAATATGCATCTAAACCCCTGAAATAAAGAATATCATTAATATTTGTAATAAAAAAACAATAAATTAGTAAAAAAAAAAAAAAAAAATTTTTTTTAAAATAATGTTAGTTGTAGGAGTTTCGTTCGTTATAGCATTCTCAATTTTATAGGTAAAACCATTCGTTATAGGAATATTCGTAGTAGGATCCGTTCGTTATAGCATACCCCACTGTACCCAATATCCCATTAAAACGATAGATTCGGTTAACAAACGACTCGGTGGAACGAATTGTGTTCGTTAACCGAGGGACCGCTGCATAGCATTATACAGTAAGGATGATCTAAAACATTTGCATCCAGGATTATAAAGAATTCCTGAAGAGAATTTGAGAGTGGATTACACCATCATTTTCCATAGCAATATTCTAGAATAAAACAAGATTAAAAACTTTACTTCAGCTTACAATACAGTACTTAAATTGGTAAGTAAAGCTGATACAGTGTGGTTAAAGGTTAAACATTTGCTTCAGCTTTATACAGTATAATGTAAATTTATATGGGAATCAACCTATGCAGTATAAGACAACTTAAGAATAGTATGCTCAAAAAATTATTGATTTAATGGTACAGTCCATGCCACTTAAAAGCCACAGACTGGTAACCTCAAAATTCCATACCTCCCGCACCTCCCGCAACACATAAACCAGACAATTAATAGGTGGTGAGCCAAGGTGAAACTCCTAAGTCAAAAACAACATCTACAGAACATAAACTTCCCTTATCCCCACACAACATCACTGTCCAGTCCTAACTTCATACTGCATAGTAACACCCCTAATAATTGTACGAGGCTTTAATGCTTACAAATCATTTTCAAAATATTAAGCAAATACATGTACAGTACTGTGAAAGTTTACTAACCCATTCGAACATGCTCCTGCCCAGTGTAGGTCATCCATTCATAAACTTCATCCATTATGGCAATGCTGTTATGTTTCTTGCACAAATCTGCAATCATCATCAGCTCCTCACGTTTGTATACCTGTTGAGTCAATTACATTTCATCTTCAAGAGAACAATCAACTTTCTCCTATGATAATAAACAGTGGAGTCAAATAAAACCAGACAGATATAGGTTACTTGTGGCAATTTTCAATTTGGCCCTGAAAACTCCTCAGTACAGTATTACAGGTTGTACCTCTCTAGTCCGGCATTCTGTGGTCCGGAAACTCCCGTGGTCCGGAACGATTTTAGTTTGTCCAATAGGTAGATAGGCAGGGTTTTTTTTTTACTTATCTGAATTATTATTATTATTACAGGAGTATTAAATTTTTGCCCCTCAGGCCCCAATGTGGGTCAGTGACCTATGCCCGGGTGGGCTAATCCCCTTAAAAAAAAAAAGCCGCGGGAAATTAAGGTTTGTTTACATCCAGCAGTTCGGCTGCTCTCTCTCTCTCTCTCTCTGCTTGTCTATACAGAGTACAACATTTAACCCTTCAATATATATGAGCAGTAAATAAGTGTTGCTTTCATATTCTTATGTAGAGTAATGACGATATATTTTCACATGTGCGCACTTACATACGAGCAGTCTCACTTTTTTTTTTACCATTAATGGTTAGCTACTTATATTGTTCCATTTATTAACATTAAATAACATTACAGGTACTTCAAGCAACCATATTCATTTTTTACATTAATTTTACTACAGCTAAACTCAGGGTCTTATTTTCTTCAGTTTTATATGTAGAACCAATCAGTCACTGGTTTCGTAAGCTTTAACATAAACAATGCCGGCAGCCGTCTCGTCTCCTCTAATATTCCACGTATTATTAATAAATTGTATTGTTAATTTTGCACACATGTACATTAATTCAATAAAAACAAATTCAGAAACATTAATTAAAATATATACGAACAGTAAATAAGTGTTGCTTTCATATTCTTATGTAAAGTAATGACGATATGTTTTCACGTGTGCGCATGCGCACTTACATATGCGATCTCTCATTTTCTTTACCATTATCGTTAGCTACTTCTATTGTTCCATTTATTAACATTAAATAACATTACTTAAAACAACCATATTAATTTTACTACAGCTACAACCAAGGTCTTATTTTCTTCAGTTTTATATGTAGAACCAGTCAGTCACTGGTTTTGTAATCAACGGAAACAATGCTGTGTCATTTCTTCGTGTGTTTTAATATTCTACGTATTATTAATTAATTGTATTGCTCATTTTGCACACATAAACATTAATTCAATAAAAAAGACATTCAGTAATAAACAATAATGAATCTTTTGTACATAAGAGAAATGACGCTGTTTACACGATTATGCCCGTCGTCTGCACGTTGGCGGGCCGTTCAAACCCGTCAAAATTCAAGTTTCCCCGTCAGAATTTTTATTTATTTATTTTTTTGTGTGTTCCAATAAAATACGTTAAGAATTAAAAACTCACGAAATTTGAGAAGCTACTATACGACATTTAACCCTTCAATATGTCTTCAAAGAGACCATGACACAGAGAAAGTGGTGCTAGTGCTTCCAGGCATAAGCACAAGTCACTATCTATCCAGGAAAAGGGTGAATTTCCATGGTCCGGCACCGGTCAGGTCCCGAGGTTGCCGGACTAGAGAGGTACAACCTGTACCCCGCTTTACACGCTTACACGGTTTCACTTTCCGCAATTTCTCATTTGCAATTCTATTTTCTCATTTACACGGTACTTGGCCAGAACCGGACTTTCACTTTCCGCGGTGCATCTACTCAAATACGCAGTGAAGTATAATTTTTTTTTTTTATTTAGCTCATAAAATTCATACAAATTACCCTGCCAGAATATAATTTACATTGCTGGAATTCTTACAATATGATGATCATTTTGAATATAAACAACATGGATTTTGCATTAGGCATACAAATTTTAGATCTAATGTAATAATTTGGTTTACACAGAGCAAATATTTTATCTTTTGTGCCAAATATATGAAGTTTACATTCAAAATATTCCCTGACCTGCAAGGAATCCAGAAATGTCAATTACATTATCCTAACTTTAGTCTGAGGTATTATTTATTACTAAACGTTAAAATCTAGTGGTTTCACCCAAACATTTCTTAGGGAGGTAGGAGCTAGTGAGCTGGGAAGAGGGGGGGGGGGATTTGAGTCCATTATTTGAATGGACATTAACCTGGCGACTGTATTTCTCTTAAATATTAATTGTGTGAGCATACCATCATAAAATTTAGATGTTATTTTTACTACAACATAGGTATTGTGTCAGAAAAAGTGGAATTTGGGGGTCGGGCCAGTCTCTATTGGAATTAATCCCATATGTTCTGTTGTTCACTTTACGCGGTTTTCACTTTTCCCGGTATCCTGTGGGTTCAATTGACCGCGTAAATCGGGGTACTACTGTATTTTAAATGCCTGGATCTAGTGATTTTATTCCATTTTTTTTTTTGAGGGGGGGGGGGAACCTTACTCTGGAACCCTATTATATGGTGATACCCTTCACAAGCAGTCAGTTCTGTATCGTTGTCCTTGATTATACATCATGATCTTCCTCCACAGGGCAGATATACAATTACAGTACAACCTTTTCCAGTGACTGGGATGGCATTACTTCACACCAAATGAGGTTAGGTACATAAGAGACCTGAGTGATACATTAAGAAGCTAAATACATACAGTACTTATCTGGTAATATGGAGAAAAAACAAGTACACCTTACCTTTCCCAGTGGATTATTTGGTGTATTTACTATAATTGCCTTTGTCTTGTCCGTGAAGGCATTACCTAATTCTGTGGGGTCCAACACCCAATCTCCTGATGATGTCACTCCTTCAGTCTTCTTCTGCTCAAACAAGACAAAAATTGGGAAACTGTACCTTAATTTCATTTGAATACACAAGATCCTGATACAGTAATTCACCAAAACTAACTACTGAACAAGTATAAATTGTTTCAAGAGCTAATGAATGTTTACAGCATTCTGGTTAAAAATACAATCAACATTAGTCTTACTGGTATAATTAAGAATTAATTCTTTTAAAATCTATTGTTATCTGCAATTTATATGGTCTAAGTACTGTAGTAGAACTTACAGGACAGAGAGGCACAAAGACAGGAGTTCCACCAGCCAATTTAACTTGAGGCATATAGCAGTCAAAGAATGGCTCAATGATAATTACTTCATCACCCTTATTCACCAATCCTGTAAAAAAAATTATGATTATTACTGACATATCTAATCATTTATAACCAATACATAAAATTGTTTTTCTGGGCAACCAGGACAAAATAAAGCCTCAAAGTCATCCATTTAAACATGGCTGGCTGATGCCTTCATGAGACCTTTCCCTTGTGTACTCCTCCACTTGGATGTAAATATCAACATTACACTTATATAATCATGAAAATTATATTCTACGTGAGTTTCAAAGCAGAAAAATCAACTAACCCATGATGGTGACAAAGAGGGCCTCATAAGCTCCTGCAGTGACCAGAACTTCGTTCAGAGGGTTGATCTCCCTACCAATCAGCTTGGAGTACAGCTTGGACAGAGCATTCACCAAACGAGGATGACCCTAAAACACCAAAAAATCAGTAGTGTACAAGAAATAGTAACAGGATCCACTGCACTAAAGCTGAAGTCTAGCCCAAGAATATAAACAGACGTGAATGAAGGATTAAGCATGGGTTATGCACAGGGTATGAATTTACAAATGGCAATCGTATTTAGACATTTAGAAATTTGATGGCAAGACATAAACATTGATAATGAATCAACTTACAAAACCGCGGGTGTATTGGTTGAGCAGAACATTGGTATCACTTGAGCAAGCTTCAGCAAGGGCTTTCCTGACAGTATCTGGAGCAGCAAAATCTGGGAAGCCTTGACCAAGGTTCAGAGGCTTCACTTCTAATGCCAACTGAATGAGCTCAACCCTATGAAAACAATAATTATTAAACTACAGTGAACAATATTATTAATTTTTGCGATAACCTTTTACAGTGAACAACCCATTCACCGACTCTATTTTCATCCATAAAACTTGACATATTGATAGTGCTGCTGTTCACAAAAAAAATAAAAAATAAAATAAAATTATAACTGTTAAATGACATATAATTTGCAACCAAGAAAAAGCAAAGGAGGAAATAATGGTGCATTATCAATAATATCAAAATGAACAAAAAATTTCATGTAAATTTTCTATATCAGAATAAAGAAATAGTTCACCAATGTGCAAAATTCAGTTTGAAAAAAAGGAGTAAAATGTAAAAGTATGGGAATCTCGAAATACATGAGAGGACAACGCACACAACAATGAGGGCCTTCAGCCACAAAGAAAACTGAATAACTCGGAGAATGAAGAAGCTGGGGGGCAGTTAACCATACCTTAAGAAATGCATGAAAATAATCTCAATAATACAAGAAAGAGAACTGTCTTACCACACACTCTTCTCAATGCCATTCGTCTTTGTTGCTATAGCTGGGGGAGATGCCACTGTGGCCATGGTGCAGGACTGTGATCTACTTCTGAGTGATGGCAAAGGACTACTGCAACTGCTCACCACTGGAGCAAAAATATAAGGCTGAACACTTATACTTCTTACAGTTGCCTGACGTATCAAATTCAACATCACCCTCCTGTAAATAGCATGTTTAATTACATTTGTTTGTTGTGAGTGCCATGACATGACCGAGTGAAAACTGTTAAATACCACTGATGGGTTACATGACACTTGATAACTCTCAGGATCATGTCATGTCATTCTGTAACATTAGGTTACATTTACACAAAATATTAGGTTCCTAACTGATATATTGTATTGTAGTTTTTAATGTATGGGAATTATTTAGGGTTCTCGGATAAAAAAATCACCTGTTTAGGTATTAATGGTTACAATACAGTATTGTACAGGGTATTCTAATTTTTATCCTATCAATATTAATCATTACCTATATTGTTGATGGCTTTTCTATTATGCATGTCATTCTAGTATCCATGTCAAATACCAAGATATGTACAACCTGTACCATATAGGCATAGCTTTGATACAAATTACAGCAGAAGCATGAAAATACCACGAGAAAAGAAATGAATTTGTTTGGGGTAGCTTGGGCAGATAAGGCACTTATGCCCCTTCTATAGGGGACATCAATTCATATTTTATAAAATGAATCAAACTAACCTACCTAACCAAACCTAACTGAGCCTAATATAACTTAACCTAACCTAATTTTTTATTGCTTTTTAAGGGAATAGTCAACCCGCCGGGCACAGGTCATCGACCACAGGGCCAGGGGCGGGGGGGTGGTAATAAGAGTAAAAAGAAATCTAAAATAGAAGAGAAACAGACTATATTAATCTACACCACGAAGACGCCGGAAAACCAGCTTTTTGAAGTGAAACAGATTGTAAGAATATGGAAACACGGAAGAAGGCAGAGCATTCCACAGTTTGGCTGTGTGAGGAAAGAAGGATGTACTATAATGGGTTATTCTAGTGTGACCGACATCCACAGAGAAACTGTGGGCACCGCGGGCAAGACGAGTGTTACGAACCCACTGCCTTGACGGAGGTACACAGGATGCAAAAATTTTTAAAAATCTACTTTGCTTACATACGATCACCAAGAAGACAATATGACAACAGTTGTTGGATGGTGGCAGTGCCCACATCTATTAATTGAATCCAAAAGAAATCATAAAATTTATATCACCAAAAAAAATTATTGTTTGCGCATTATTTGTTGATTTTATACGGTAAGACAATTCTAAGACCTTTTTCTTCCGTGATATTCCCACCGGAAATTAAGAATAACCGAGATATTAATTTTTCAATATTATTAGATTTGGTCAGTCACATGTGTCGCTATTTGTTATTTACGTCTCACATAGACGGTGTGCCCATCCATCACGCAGTGCTCCTTGACTTCATGTTGGCTTCTTAAGCGTCTACATCGTATGAGCGGGGAGTGGTGTGGGAGTTTCTTATTGGCTACAGCGATAGGAGATTATAATTGGGTAAGAGTTTTTGTCTTAGCCAATGAACAATGCGTCGGGAGCGGAGATTTGATTTTTTAGCAACAGAATAACCGGGAGCCACGAATTACCCAGAAGTACCCAAACGTATAGCAAATAAGGGTAAAATCTTAACGAATATCTGTTATACATACACAAAACATGTTTAATAATATTTTTAGTGTAATTTTGTAAAAATAATTTAAGATGAAATAATAAACAGCGAAAAACTTTCAGTATTGGCAAACGCTAAATTCCAAAGAGTTCGTGAACAAGGGAGATAACTCAGATCCATCGTGATGCACTTTGCTAACCTAACGAAAAGTAAATCATACGGCTATGTTAAATACCCCAAAGTAACAGAAACATCGGTAATTATATCTCCATTTTGGATAGGTGACTCTTTGGAATTTAGCGTTTTTCGCTGTTTATTATTTAATTATTTTGACTACATTTCAATGAAAACATTATTAATCAGGTTTTATTGATGTAAAACATATATTCGTTAAGATTTTACTCTGATTTAATATACTTTTGGGTACTTTTGAGTCATTCGTTGGACCGGAATAACCAGATACGTATGGCTGAACAGGTCACTGACCCACATCGGGGCCTAGGGGGCGAAAATGTAATAATAATAATAATAATAATAATAATAATAATAATAATAATAATAATAATAATAATAAAGAAATACAAATTGAAAACAAATTTAATGAGAAACAATATACAGTATATATGTTGTGTTGTCAATAGTAAGAGAAACAGTTGAGACCCTGCAATTGAGTGTAAACGAGGCAAAAAGTCAGATCAGCAACCTGGTACTTGGTCACAATTTTCGTGATGCCATATGGCAGTAGGGTCTATCATTAGACAACACATTATGCTTCCAATATCTTCCCAAGTGGTAGTACCTCCCTGTTTGGTAGCTGCCTACTACCTACTACCTGTAGGTTACATCAGAAAAATAGTGTTAGGTTAGGTTAGGTTAGGTTAGGTTAGGTTAGGTTAGGTTAGGTTATTTATGTGATTTACTCGAAAAATATCGTTAAGATTAATGGGTAGGGTGGGGGGAATCTAAAACCAATTGATTTCCGGCTGAAATGAGTATCAAATTCGTTCGAAACTCGTCAAATAACATCGGAAAATCATATTTTTAATATCCAAACAGAGACAGGGTGCATTAGTGAAAATTGACCACAATCATCGATGCTAGAGGTGACGACATACTGTTAACCTAGCCAAAAGTATATTATAAAATTCTGGTGTGATGCTTGAACCTGCTTCTCTCAACAAAGTCTGCCAATTCAAGGGATGGTATCACAGAAGTTGCATCGAATATAATTTTTATTCCCATCCATCGGTAGTATAAAGTGTAACTCAATTCTTCTAAAAAATAAAAATAATAAAAAGGTACGGCGCCATACTACTGTTCTAGTCAGCCACCTGTTCAAGGTCATCAAATGGAATTTAATGAATAGTGACTGGATAATAAGAAAACTAGAAAGCATCCACCACACCATAGATAATGTAATCATGAGAGACTATTCTACATATGACAATGACACGAAATACGTAATAAGATGTCACCTTAATGAGGGGGTTGGAGCAAAGAGGTAACCACAATATTAACGTGATTACAGCAGTTAATAGTAGATGTCAGTGCAGTAAACTAAATTGTTGAGTCGTCAAGGAGTATTTGCTGACCTTTAGAATGTTTTGACAAGAGACAGAAAAACCAAAATGCCCAAGAAAGGAACAGCAGTCGTCGCAGCTGGTGGTTCTTACCGGCGCCTCTACCAAGACAAATAATAACAATCAGTGTTGCCAACTCGGATTTTCAAATGTCGCTAGACTGGTACCTAAAAGTAGCTAAATGTCGCTAAATCTTCCATGGAAAGTCGCTAGCTATTATTCCCCCCTTCAGTAATTTGATGCAAATAATATTTTCATAATGCCGACTATAATGGACGGAGTATAAATAAAATGCATTATGTAAAAATAAAAATAATATTTTTTTTAAAGTTTAATGTGCACACTGTGTTGTACCGTTTGTGGCCAGTTGTCAATTCTCTTTAGTTGTCTATTATCTCTTTGTATGGGCACACAAACGTACGTACATGTAGATACCTTCACTCAGGAATGAGGTTGGATAGAAACTCACGATGTGCTTCCTGTATATATTGTTGTACAGTGCAGTACTTAGGAGTGACTAGGTGAGGAGCTGAGAGAGATGTTGCTGGTCCAGTAGCTGAGTGTAGGATGATCTCCCTGGGCAGGCGTAGCCGTATTTATACAATTTACCAGGATCAGGATCTGGGCTGCGCGTAGCGAGCGGACCAATCACAGCGGCTCAAGCGTAAGGTGTGAAACGCTCTGATCCTGAACTGGAGGTTGATGGTCGAGACTAGGTCGGCGATCGTACCCCTACGTCCTCTGCATAGACCTAGTCTCTCGGCGTAGCTGGCTGTACGCTGATTGGCTGGTCGGAGTGCGGCCGGAGCTCAGTTGGGAGTTGTAGGGGAGAGTAGCCACTACAACACTTACCTATTATTCAATAGTAATTGCATCCCAGTCCTCTTGGTAGTCGTCGGCAGTGTGAACAACTGTAGAACTGGAAGCATGTGAAGTGCTTGGTTCAGGTTCTCGTGCAGATATCTTGTAACTGTATGCCTCCACAGTCCCTATCTTTCTTAAAATATCACTAGGAAGTTCATAACTTGCACAACAGGTGTTCTGTCTTTTTAACCCATACTTTATTGTAAGAATTGCCTTTAATGTCGATAGTTTCATTTTGTTGCGCAATTTTGATTTCACAAAGTTCATATTACTAAATGTGCGCTCTACATCTGCGTTTGAATGCGGAAGAGATAAGGCAGCGAGTGCAATTTCAGCCAGATCATGGTAAGGGTTTTCACCTGTCGCATCTCTGTAATTTGCCACTTCTGACCACAGTTTTAGGGTGTTAGATGCATGGACGGGCTGACATCAAGTGATCAGGAAATAGACGTGTCCCTCCTTCTGTACCACGACCTGTTGAAATGTATTAAACTTTTCTTATTATTTATTGTCCCTGTAACCCCGTTGCTATATATTATGGCTCGAAATTAGGAAAACTGAGTTTACATGGACAGTCCAAAAGTATCCAGAAAATCGCTAGATTTCTGTGGATATCTCTAGATTTGCGACAAGTCGCAAATCGCTCTAAAATGTCGCTAGAAAAATACAAAAAACTCTAGATCTAGCTACAAAGTCGCTAAGTTGGCAACTCTGAAGCCGACGAGCATTAAAGAATAAGTTTAAAATGATGAAAAAATATAATTATGATATGGGTTTTGTATCTTTTATTTTTCATTCTTCGTTATATCAAACTAATTTATAGTCTTAACAGTATATATAAGATAATTATTTGCATTATTTTTTAACTCTGTCCTTATAAATAAAACCCGGGAACATATAAATACGAATCCAAACTAATACCAGTTGAAGACACTGCATGAGGGGAGTACAGTATAGAAAAGAAAGCTATTACAATATAATTATTGGTGAATGTTGTTGGAATATAATTATAACGTTCTGATTTTCTCCAGGATCTACAGAGTTCTATCATAATATTTAATGTTGTTCGACTAGTGTTTCGCATTTGTTTGGCTTATACTGCAGGCGGTCATCAAAGGGTGATTTATTGAAGTTTATAAAATCTCAGAGAGCATTAATTTATTCAGTCGAGTCGATGCTGGAGGTTGAAGAACTCCAAGTTCGGAAAATTTTCAGGGTAAACTTTTTCGGGGTGAGAATTGTAAACTCGTGGAACAATTTACCAGACAGCATCGAACCTTCACGAATTCCCCAGCCTACGCCTCCAGCGCCGCCCACGGAGCGGGGGTCAACTCTCTACCCACGCCTAACCCTGCCTTATAAGGCCTGACACCGCAGTGACCAGCCTCTCTATCTACACAGTGCCACCAGCAAGCAACACCTCCTCCTCGGCGCCAGCCTGGCGGCTCCCTCACCCTCGCCACCTTGGCGTCCCTCAAGCCGCACCCTCAGCACCCAGCTCTCTCTACTCTGAGCGCCAGGCCCGCAAGAAAATCAGGGTCCACGACTGGGCCTCCTCCACTGACACTGAAAGCATAGCCATCCTCGCGGACATTCATGAGGGGGCGACCTTTGCTCGCACTGAACGCCGGAACCTCCTGATAATCAGTGACAGCACTTCTGCGCTAGCGAGGCTCAAATTACCCTCCCTCTCCTCCCCTGCCGCCCAACACACCCTAGCCGCCATCGCCAGGCTAGAACAAACTGATGACATCCGTGTCAAGTTTATTTGGATCCCGTCACATATAGGAATAACTGCCTGTGACACTGTTGATCGACTTGCCAAAGAAGCGACACCGGAAGAAGATATTGAAGCCACCCTCGCCCTCTCCCTGAATCATCTCAAATCTCGCATACACGCCACACAACGAGAAGCATTCGACGTAAAATGGACACACCTGAAACAAAGGGGCAGCGTCACACTATGCCACTATGACGCTGTAACCGGTGACTCCAACCGCCACTACAAAGAGTATCAATCTCTGACTCGATCTCAACAGATTATATACATGAGACTGCGCCTAGGGTACAGGTACCTATGGGAGTACATTGGCAACCCTGAGCCAGGCCGCACTGTTTGTAAACTTTGTGGCCAACCCGACTCTCACACCCTCCTCACTACATCCTCACTTGCCCTATGACCTCCTCCTACAGGTCCCCAGCCGTTACCAACACCTCTTCCCTCCCTGACCAGATATCCCTCCTCCTAGTCACAGGCCTGGCACTTGACATTATTAGGGACCTGCCACGCTTTGCTATAAACAGATGAAATGTACCGGGAATTCCCCCCCCCACACACTCATCATTCTGTCACTTTATGTAACTTGCTGACAAAACCCATGACCCTTCAGGCTTCCACGCCCTTAATGCATGAGTCATAAAGGCAAGCATGAACTCCGCATGCTTCCCAGTTGGGCACTGTAAACGCTTCTGCGCTTCACCTTACACATGATGTAAGGGGGTGCCCAATAAACTAGCCCCCTCCGGGGCAATCTGTAAAATCTGTACTCAACGCTTATTACCAGGCTACCTACCCAGCAACAAGCTGCATTGTACATCCAATACAATATGTATACAGTGAGCACATTGTGAGTTTCCTTTCTCCATCCCATCCTGAGTGTGAACCAATATCTCATACCCCCCCAAATGGTGACCCCTGGAGATTCGCACTCACACAGGATGGAGGAGAAACTGATCACTCTCCCAGTCTTCAAGCAACATGGAAGACTGGCTTACCCACGCAGAGGCAGCTCTCATCGGCTCTACAACTACTGTCTCTACACCGCAGGTTAGACACCCTAGAGCAGCTCTGCTACTCTATGCAGACAGCCGCTCCTCTTCCTGCCCCAAGCACCACGTTCTACCGACCCCAACACACCCGTCCTGCCACAGACGCCGCCCCCGGCCCAGCAGTACCCCCTGCCGCGGACCCACACACCCTTCTTTTCTCCCTCAGGTACCCCCTGCTACTGTCCTGCACCCTGTTGCTGTCGTGGGCCCTGCTGCTGTCATGCACCCTGCTGCTGTCATGGACACTCTTCCTAACGCACCCCCTGCTCCTGACCCAGGCCCACACACCCCAGCAGGCGCATCTGAGGACTCTGTACTTGTCGCGAGTGAAGCACAACATTCATCGCCTCCACAACCCTCCTTCTCCCTCTTTTCTCCCACAGATCCCGTGTATCTAGACAGAGTTGCCCCCCCCCCCCCTAGCGGCCGGCTCATCCACGCCCTCGCCGTTCTGCCTCACATGTGGCACGCACCGCCCGTTCTGCCTCACATGTGGCACGCACCGCCCGTTCTGCCTCACATGTGGCACGCAACTCTGCCAACCTCCGGCCTCCCGCCGCGCCCGGAGGGGAAGGGGAGTATTGTAGTGGATTCCTCCCCTACAAGCACCGAACCTTCTCGAATTCCCCAACCTACGCCTCCAGCTCCGCCCACGGAGCGGGGGTCAACTATCTACCCACGCCTACCCCCGCCTTATAAGGCCTGACACCGCTGTGACCAGCCTCTTTTCTACCCAGTGCCACCAGCAAGCAACACTTCCTCCTCCTCGCCAGCCTGGCGGCTCCCGCTCCCGCCGGCGACCTAGGCGTCCCTCAAGCCGCGTGCCCTCACTCTGGGCATCCTCACCACCCAGCTCTCTCTACTCAATGCTTATTACCATGCTACCTACCCAGCAACAAGCTGCATTGTACAACCAATACAATATGTATACAGTGAGCACATTGTGAGTTTCCTTTCTCCATCCCATCCTGAGTGTGAACCAATATCTCATAACCCCACAACGGCACCAAGTGTGAGTATTTATTTAAGACCAGACTTGACCCACACTGGCACAGGAACAGATGCATTCTGAACCAGTGTCTATACTAGGAAAAAAATAATGATGCACACACACAAGCAGACAGAGATACCAATATTAAATTAATTTCAAAGTCCTAATGTAATGACCACGGTCGGACATGTTAGTTAACGTAAAATCAGACGATTCATATTACGCTCAATACATACCATTACTCAAATTCATGTTGACGGATTCGGTATGTTTAATGAGACTAGATTCTATAATGTTCCTACTGTCAATTGAATTACAAGGTAATATTGAGGTGGCATTATCCCAGTCAATGCAATGCTAATTATCCCTCAAGTGAACAAACAGAGCATTGGATTCCTGGCCTGTCCTAACACTATATTTATGTTGTTTAAGTCTAGTCACAAGATCTTTACCTGTCTGGCCGAAGTAAAACATATTTTATTACCATAGTAAACCTCAAAACAATTTCTTCCGGATTTCCCTGTAGTATAATTTTGATTATTCTGATAACCAAAGCAGTACAGAAAACTAAAAATACATAATAGGAATTTGTCTGCAAACAGAACAGGATCAGCATTAAAGTAATTTTAAAAAAATCGTTTGCAACCGGAAAATCATATAAGTACGAAATTAAAGATATATTGCTTTGTCTGTTGAGGTGTTCTTTTTGTTTTCTTCACATTCTTCCCTATTCGAATGAGGCATAACAGAAATAGAACATCTTTTATTGGTATTGTAATCCTACAAAATACCTTCTTCCACATCTTCTTGCTGTAGATCTGGATTATTTTCATAAGCAGAGCAGTACACTTTGGCCACTAGACAGCACTTAAAACAAATATTTCGGCAACCAGAACAGCTTTAGCAGTCAAGTAAAAAAAATCTAATATTTTTGTTTGCTACTTCAAAATCATGAAAGTGTGAAATTAAAAAGATATTTTGTCTACCTGTGAACTTTGTGAAGTTTCATTTTTGTATTCTTGGTGTGCTTCTCTGAACATTGATGGAAACCACCTTTGCCGCTATTTTTTTCACTGGCTGTACACCAGTACAGCTGGACGAGGGTCAAATTCATCAACTAGAGGCATGTTGTGTCGTACATACAAGTAGTTCTTCGGAGTGGAAGATGCCAGATTGCTTCCATCATCTGTTTTGATAACATTATATGATCTTATCAACCTTTCACAACAATCCGTGCCAATGCAACGACCATTTTTCTATTCTCCAGCTTCTCTGCAAGCTTTCCTGACAGAACCATAGCTCCCACTATTTCGTGTGGTTTCATTTATGAGCTAAGTGCTTCACAGGCATCTCTGTATTGTAAAACAAATGAAGTCAGATCCAAATCTGGTATAATAAGTCCATGACATGCCTTCAATTCACTATCTGTTACCCCCTTATTGTGTTCTTCAAAGGACTTAGATGTTTAATCTTTCAGTATCGAAACTATATCTTTCATTCAGGAAATTCAAGAGGAATTCTATTATTCCATAGAGTATGGCGGTAAAACTTCGTTTCACAGTGACAAGTGCGTGATCTGTACGACGTGAATTTTCCACCAAATGAACACCAAAAAAGGAGGCATCGTTTTCAGCATAGTTTTCTTTTAATTTACTTTCCCATCCTCCAAGTATTTTTTATTATTTTTTTATGGAATCAAGAGGACTCATGAGATTCAGTACTTTGCTATCCCAATCAAAGTAGGTGATTTTGTAGTCTATGGTATCACTATACCAGTTTAACCTTTGGTTTGCCACTTATCATTTAGATAGCAGTGTATTTTCTGATTACCCGTTTAAGTGATATTTCAACCATAACGTACAGTATAACACTCGACCACTTCTTAAATACTGTAATGATTTATACTGCATATGTATGATTCTCTCTTTACTCCCAAGTAAAAAAATAAATAAAATCTTGGTAGGATAAAGTATATTTTTATTTCTATTTAATACCCACCGTGACGGGGACACGCGACATCAGGTCATGCCCAAGTGATTATCTCCCGCACACACACACACACATACAAGATGGACTGGTCCAGTTTCATTTGCTGTTTATTGTTTTCTTATCGCTGTGTAAATTGTATAAACACGCGTGTCTATAAACCTAAAGATAGTTGCTATGCTAATTCTGAACCCTTGGACGTAAAAATGTACACAAGTTCATCAATGGCACTTTGAAACAACTCGTGTCCTTAAATACAAACACTTTTTTTTCCAGTGAATTTAAGAACTAGGTTCACCATCACGGTATATAATATGACAGTTTTGTGTTCATTATAAATAGCAGCAGCAGAAAACAAAAACATGTTGACTGTCCTTACTACTGCACGTGTCTTGTCTGAGGCACCTCACAGCCCTCCCTCCCCACTACACCGTGTCCCCCTCCAGGTGGTGTTCCTACACTATCACGAACCGGTGGGCATATGTGTTGGTGTAAGAGAGATGGAAGAAAAAATGTTAAGAGGGAAAGATAAAAGACAGAACAGTGTTGTAAACTGCATGCAAGTTTTTGGTGTATGAACACGTGCCATCACTCATAGGGGAAACACCTGCAAGAAACAGCAATTATCAGTAACTGTGAACACCTGTAATATATTCCTTCCCACGTACTTAATGTGGGTTAAATTTAAGCTCCAAAGATCACCTTAGGGTTAGGCACTCCAACTTATGACACGCCATGATTAAACACCTTAACGCTAATCTGATCTAACCTAACCCCCCCCCTCCCCAGGTAGCATCAGGGTAATTGATCAAGTGAATTAAGCTGGGGTGTCTAATCTTCAGGTGTAATACAGTGACAAAGAGAGAATAAGCTGAAGGTTTTCCATCCTAGGAATGAAAAAAAAGGGACTCTAATATTTTATTGGGAAAAAAACAGCACAGATATAATTGTTTCCAGTCTGCTATAATGTCACAATATAAAATCTTAAAACTGTAAACAGCAAGAGTCATACACCTGTACACAGCTTAAGAGTAACAATCATACTTTAGAGACATATGTATCAACACAGTCATGATACATCCACGTCAGTATAATCACCAAAAATTCATACTGTATTCTTAATGTTTGTTTTCTTTCTGTTATATATCATTGTACTGACACTTCAAGAAGAGGTTAAACTACATTAATAAAAATAGTGCTCGTAAAGTTTACTGATATTTTTAACTGGTAGATTATATATTTATTCATCTGTTGATCAATATATCTATAACTTGTAACTATAGGAGTGTCTGTTTATCTCTACCTCTCTATTGATCTATTTATCTATCAAGGTAGACAAACTGTTTCCTCCAGCACTTGAGAGTTGCCTACACACAGAAGGTTCCCTCAACCACCAAAGTCATGTCAGGGGTTATGCTTTTAGTTGCCTTTCTTTCAGACATCAGAAAAGCTAAACGCATTGTAATGAACGAGAATAAAGGTGTCAACTTTACTTACAGTACAAGTCATTGATTTGCGTCACAGATTGAATGAAAAATATTCTGAATCATAACAAAATGAGGCAGACATTGACAAAATGAAGCGAGAGAGAGTCAACGATGGAGCCCCAACAACACACACGCAAGAAGCAGCTAAAAACACTAACTTAACTTTTCCTGAGGAGAGATAATAATACTAAGAACAATATGGCTACCATATCAACTTTTCTTGTTTATATAAGACATACGACGTTGCTGCCTTTGCTGATTTCCTCTGCGACGTCTTCCGTGGAGGTGGACTTGGCAGCGAAGGAGGAGAGACAAGTGCACATGAGCAAACCGATGCTGCTGGCCAAGGTGATGTAGGTAGCCCAGCCTGGAATATGGTAAGGTGTCATTCATGCGGATTTAAAGGAAAAGCTCCACCGTGGCTTGATGTGCTATCTTTGGAGTTGAAATTGAAAGTGTATTCATCCAGAATAATAATTTACAATATAAATTTAACAAAAATACTGACTTGGTTGAACCTCTCGAGTGGTACAGTACAACTCCTTTGAATCCATTTGATAAATACTGTACGTTTATATATAAAAAATAGTAATTCCCACAGAGTTGAGTTGTAATTGTGGAGTAATTACCAAATGCACAAGGGCACGGCATGGCGTCTTGTGTATAAATTCAAAGCAAAACAACAATTTGGCTAACTAAGACCTCATAATTCTCAAAACAAAATGAGAAATGCTGTGGGATGTTTACTAGAAACAATAACACCCACGTGTCAACAGAACAGCAGAGAAAAGAAATCTAGAGGATATATTTTACAAGTGCAATTACACAACAAACTACCAATATTACAAAAAAAAATATTATGTATTTCTTGAAATACGTCAGAGCAATCAACCAAGAGGGTGGCTGATGATGTGATATAATACATCGTTCTTACAATAGCATAAGGAACAAAATACAGTGACCAGAACACACGACCTGCAGCACAACCTACCCACAGTACAGCTGCTAGGATAGTATATGCCAGCATCGGCCCCACACTGGTTCTGTACCCGCTGGGAGTCCCACGCTAGGGGGAAGGCTGCTACACCTGCCAGGCTCAACACACCTGTTTTGTGTTTAATAAAAGAGATACATTAATTAGGAGTTCTCTATGAATGATTTGAACTAGATAGACGGACCAAGAATGACATGAAAGAACACATTAATTGCGAGGAAAGAGGAACAAGAAATAAGACGGAATAACAGAACACAGTGAGCCGGGTTGACAACACTTAAGAGCAGGAGAAATATTACAGTGATCTTTACGAGACTGTGGAGGTGAAGAGGATAAGGACCCCAGATGTGAAGAAGAAGAACACATGTAAAACGACTTCTCTTAATCTGATCAGAAGGAGAAACGGTTAAAGAAGAGGAGGAGGAAGAGGATTAAAACCATAAAGGATGAGAAGGAGAAGGAAGAAAACTCCAAGGGAAGAGGAGGAGGACATAAACTATAGGAGAAGAAGAGGAGGAGGAAGACTACAAAGGAAGAGGAGGGGTAGGATGAGGTACGGTCGAGATAGTAAGAAGTGTATCATGAGGACTTTGTTATTTTTTTGAAGAATATTATGATACGTTGGTGATATTCTCCATTTTCTAAGACTTTTCTTCATTCATGGTTTTCTCACCTGCGAAGGCCTGGACGGAGCCGATGATGGTGAACCAACTCTTGCCTTTGATGAGTCTAACACAGGCGGTGCTACAGATGGCGCCACACGACACCACCGTCAATACCGTCGCTGCCACCACCGCCACAAGTGCCACTATCTGCAACACCACCACTTGTAATATTTTGTTTTGTTTTGTATTTAGTTTCTTGAGATTGTTGAAAAGGAAGGAATCTTATAACTAGCAAGAAGTGGGACGTGTCTGGATCTGACTTGAGTTGACGTTTTTTTCTTTTATATCAGAAGGACGAAGTTTGTGAGTTCATGAAAATACTGAAATAAAATGACTTCAGGTGTTTACTAGAGAACCGGTCTGTCCCCACACCTGAGACCGACGACTCAGGTGTACACATAATTGTACTTATAAGTTGAGCAGGTTACAGATGTATGAAATAAACGCTAGCCTTACTGAATATACCTCAGGGAAATGCTTACAAGTGTATACCAGGCTGTGGACAGGACAAATCTGGTTTACTTGCGTTACAGAATCTCTCTCCCTCTACGTGTCACAAAGCGGACTAAAAAAATGTCTCATTATTCTCACACACACACACACCTGGGCAGCTGGCAGGTCAGGTACGTTGGTGATGTACACACCACAGTGTAGGGAGGACCTGGCCCCGGTGCCCATCTTAGTACAGCGAAGCCAAAGTCCAAGGGACTCTCTCTCTTGCCCCGATCCCCACGCTGACGGCTCTATCGAATGTGATAACTCATTAGAAACAGCTAAGACAGATACTGCTACTAATTAAGGTATTACTACTACTACTACTGTAATAATATTACCACTAGCATTTCTACAACTACAACTACAGTATCACCACAACCACTACTACTGCTTCCATTAACCCTGCCTTCACCACTACGCTGACAACTCTAGAGGATATGACAGACTGCAATACAAAAAATAATACTCTTCAAGGTTTATGTACAGGATATCACAACAAAAATAACAGTCGTGAAAAATAGGAACAAATAAACAATGGACGAAGATGAATTTGCAGTAGAGAGAGAGAGAGAGAGAGAGAGAGAGAGAGAGAGAGAGAGAGAGGGGAGGCTGGTGATGAAAGAATGAGTCAACATGACGTGGAGGGAGGGAGATGTGAGGGGCCAGACGCGCCGAGTAAGTACAGGAGGAGGGAGGGAAGGGGACACACTGAGGAGGGAAGGGGGGGCGTTGCCGATGATGATGATTACCAGTGGTCGGAGGAAGGGTGAAGGGAGGGAGAAGGAAGGAAGTGGTGGTGAGGGGAGGGGGAGAAGAAAAGGTGCCATAAAGTTCCGGGTGGGAGGGAGGGAGGGGTGATGGTTCAGATAAGTAAACAACTGGCCAGTGGGCTGGATAATCTCATATTTGTAATTTTTTTTTTGCAGGGATTTATCCACCCGGGCACTGGTCACTGACCCACATCGGGGCTTGGGGGGGCGAAAATGTAATAATAATAATAATAATAATAATAATAATAATAATAATAATAATAATAATAATATTTCATAGTACTGTAAATAAAATGTATGATAAAAAAATAATAAAATAATAATGGTAATAATGATAATATAATAATAATAATAATAATAATAATAATAATAATAATAACAATAATAATAATAATAATAATAATAATAATAATAATAATAATAATAACAATAATAATAATAATAATAATAATAATAATAATAATAATAATAATAATAATAATAAAGAACCACAAAGAAATACGAAAATGAAAAAAAAAAGATCAATACTGTAGTGAGAAACAATATATGTATGTTGTGTTGTCAAAGTAAGAGAAACAATTGAGACCCTGCAATTGTGTGTAAATGAGGCAGAAAGTCAGATCAGCAACCTGGGACTTGGTCACAACTTTCGTGATGCCATATAGCAGCAGGGACTACCATTAGACAACACATTATGCTTCCAATACCTTCCCAGGCAGTAGTACCTCCCTGTTTGGTAGCTGCCTACTACCCACTACCGAGTGCCTACTACCTAGTAACAGATAAATAAAGCAATCACTTAATCTCTTACGAGTTCATCAGGTTATTGTAAATATGGATAACACATAATGAACTAAGACTACAGGTACACATACAAGTCCAGGTAGAGATACAGGTAACGTGTGTACTACGTGTACGGACAAATACAGTACGAGTTACACAGAACTACTGTGTACTTTCGTAATTCCAGGTAAGGTAAGTACAGTACAGTAATTATGTGAATGGTTATCAAGATCTCTTTCTGTGTTTGTAATTGCTTTGTTTAACGGGTGTACTAATCCTGTAACGTGTATAATACCTGAATACTAATTATATTTGTGTAAACCTTCACTACACAGATTGCAGCTGACGACACATAAACAAAATATTATTGTTGGTGGCCATGTGGTTCACACGTGTTGCGTGCGTGACCAAAGGCGCCGCATCAAGGCATACTACAGGCGCCCGACCCTCGCTGCGGTACAGTGGTGACGGAACTGACAGTCCTTGCAGAAAGCATTATTATCATGATCAGTATTAATATTATTACAATTATTATTATTATTGTATCTTAGACTGAAACCTTCCAGATTAAAGATGAACAACCCAAGTACGGTTTAAAAGTTAACTTTAAACCATTATGATATACTGTATATAAAAATATAATAAAAATTTTAGTGTGTACATGGTAGTGACATTTATGTGACATAATGACTACAGTGCCTCCATATAACACCAGATGACGGTCGTAACTTAAGGCAGTTAACTTTCCACAGCTGGTCAAGTATAGTACTTTTCTGGGCTGTAATTGTATAATAGTTATAATAAGGCCGGTAGAGTTATGTTTCCCCCACACAGGCTAGTTTATTGGACAAAGCATCACAGCGCCCAACAGGAATACATACGTCATGCGGAGTTATTATTGCCTTCTTTGGCTTTTCATTTTTCTCGCCCTGCCCGGGAAGCGAACCCGAGATCTTTCGGTTGTGAGCCGACTGCGATACCATTGTGCTACAGGGTATCCAACCTTCAATGGCTGATATAATTAAAGGACTCGAGTGCCCAAGGGGTCACTGGTTGTGTTAGTGAGTTATGCCGTTATTACACTGGCATCAGCCTTACTGTATGTGCAGCGAGAATGACCCGTAATGTTTGGTCTAGAAACTTTGTAATGTACAGCATTTTATTTCTGCTATTGTTTAACAGTTCACAAATTTATCAAAGTTGGCCATTGAGGACCACTGTTAGATATTGACAAAAGTATCTAAAGGGATTATGTCCACAACTGTACGTACAGTACATACTGTATGAGCCCAATTGTGTCATAAACTTAAAAAACTTTGACATCATTAACTCTTAACAAGTACAGTAGTCGAAATAGTAATAGTCGTAGCATAAATAATAATAAAAAAGATTCAGACAGAATCACTCCAAGGAAAAAATAAATGTCCAGGAGGCGTTGGGGTTATCTGGGAGAGACGCCTCCATCTTTACCAGTAAACTGTTCCTTGAGGAAGTCTGTGGAGAAAGCAGGCTGAGGCTGTCCAGGAGAAGTAACGAGAGCCGCGTGTGGGGAGTAGGGCGTTGTCGGCGGCCCCAGAAGCCAGGAGGGGGAGAGGTTGGCCCCCAGCAGAGCCATAACACACGCCACAGTCCACAGCAGCCACCCCAGCCACCACCGCGTAACAATCACCACCACACCGCACATCCCTGCTCTTAGTCAAACTCCTGGTGAAAGAAACGGGATTCATTAGATTTATATTATTACTACAAGAATAATAATGCCTGTCTGTTGAACTTCGTAAGCACAAAACACTGAATGAAAATTTAAGACAACATAAAAAAAAATCTAGTTAGTTGGATCAGATTAGATCTTCAGGTATAAGTAATCATTAGAAAATTTGAAAATAATTGTAGGAGTCAAGGGGGCGAGCACGAACAAACTACTGTATTGCATCATAGTTACCCATAATTCTCCTTCAATGCAAACATCTCGTGAGAACATGACATTGTGGCCAGAAGTAACCGTACAACGATACTTTACAGCTACGCGAATTTAGGGAGTTAAATGAAAAATCCTTTGTCGTAATAACCCAACATTTGTATTTTATTTGGAACTAATATATGTATGATCGATTAGTTGAGTGTGTTAAGGTGACGTATACAGAAGGCAGTGTGAGGGAGCAGGAGGGCTAGTCAGCAGGACGCTCTCTCACCCACCACCTGCGCCACACTGACGTCGGCTGACACCACTCGCGGGTAATCTTGATATAAATCCTTAATTAACTGATTAATGTTAAAAAATGGGGGTATTTTTATCGTGTCTTAAAATTATTCTCTATTATGATGTGTGATTAAACGTGGGCGTCTTCACCTCAAATCCCAGACCAGCTCCCTCCGGTCACGCTCCCTCCTCTCCTGACGATAAGCCTTTCACTTGCTGCCTTGAACTAACAAAATTCTACAAATTTCTCACGCGACAAAATCCCCTCTTACAAAATCCTATCATATAGTTTGTCTGAAAATAATAATTCCACCAATTAAAAATAAATTGGATAATTAAACCTATACAGACGCCTATGTTATTTGGTCACCTGAAGTGGAATTTCCAAAATAATATTTTTCTGCAGTTTCAGTATAGGCACAGGTTCAGTAGTTCCCAGGTGTTGAGAGCATTATACAGGCGTTGCCAAAACCTAGGCAGAAATGTACCTGAAAATTTTTCCTTTTCAATTAAGTCCGGTATAAAGTTTACATACCATGATATTGTGGTGACAGTATCATGGTCGTGTCTTCCCTACATGTAAATACTCAAAACTTGTTATCTTACTGATAACTACATAAAACCTGTTATCTTTCTTGTAAATAATTAAGACCTGTTAACTTACTTATAAAAACTGTACTTAAAACTTATTAAATTCGTCATTTTGGTATAAGTATAAGTATATATACAACAGAGCCCAGTAATGGCAATTTCATAGACACAGAACTTACAGTACGTCAAACAACTTAAACTAATCATTTGTGTACATAATATACCTACTCAACTTCCCAAATGCTGTTAGTTTCTATATATTTAGTTATTAAGTAAAGATAGTACAGTGATATTCCTGTAAATAGTGAGGATAGTGAAGGTGTGGAGACAGGAGGGGCGTGTCGTGTGGTGCTCCTCAGGGATGATGACACAGCCAAGGTTGGAGATTTTGGTCATATGATTCCGTTCACTATAATGATAATATCTGTAGACTTGAAGTTGTGTTTCCTTCTTAAGACTGTGTAAGTGTAAGGTCACCGCAATATATATTTACTTTTCTCTCTGTGTCTCTTTATTTCTTCCCCCATCATTTGTTTACTCATGCTGGTTACCTGTTTCTCTCTATATAAACTCTTTCTCTTTGTCACTCTTTTCCCATATTCACTTTTCAGGATCGGGTGGTTTCAGTCGTGAGGTGTTTCAGTAGAGGGGGACGAGGATAAAGGGGGGGGGGGGAATCTACCCCATACTGCAGTAATCCTGCCTCTTAAATCCTGAACCAAAACATTCCTCCTCCCATGGTGGTATTTCCTTTACTACGAGTAATCCAAGTTTTTGACCCCCAAAGGTCGATAATGGTATATGCCATGATGACAATGGTGACAATCTTAAAACATGGTAAATCTAACAGCCATATGGCATATGACAGGATTTTTTTTTAAATGACTATGGTTAACTATGAAAAAAACAAAAACATTTGTAAGTTATAAGATCGATGGGTGGTAATTCGTGTGACAAATGACAGTGTTAATTAATGTGACGGATGCCGCCAATGATAATTAAGTTATGTGATAAAACATTAGTGACACCCACGTGACACATGACAATGGTGACAACTCTGGCTTGTCACGTACAAATGATAATATCGAACAGTTACATGATAACAGTAACATTCTTGATGACAATGGTAACACAACTTTAAGGTAACAAGTGTTACCAACCACGTAGTGGCCAGCAGTGGCAATGTACCAGCCCTGTGTGTGGGTGATAATAATACCAAGAATTAGAGGTGATTCAAAGGTTAACGTAGAATTATATTATCAACATTTGACCAAACAACAAAATAATTATACAGTACTCACTTTTTTAATAAACTTATTTGACTTGTATACTTTTCTAATTACTGTTGTACATTATTATTCCACCATAACTGTAAAACCACAAAATTGCTTAAGCAACAATTCAAACCGACGCACAGGACACTTGACAACACCCACTCCTTTAGTGCTCCAGACCGTACTGAGGACCTGGAGGAAATATCAGGTTGCCTATTTAGGGATAGAGGGAGTGTGTGTCGACTGTGACGTCATCATCATGACGTCACCCCCAGGGGAGGCTGACAACGAGATATAAACAAGAATGTGCACAATGTTTTTATAATGATCAATCCTATCACGTGATAATTATAGAACTGATGTAGTAGATGGGAGGGAGAGAGAGAGAGACTGAGAGAGAGAGCAGAGTGGCGGAGGGGCCGGAGGGAACAGACGTGACCGTTATCCTTTCCCAGCCCTGTCCGTCCCTCCACGCCTACCCCCAATGCCCCTACACCTCCCCCTCCACCAAGTTAAGCCTTCCCACTGTCGCTTCTCACTTCTTCCCCAAATTCCCTTCACGTCGACCCACTGCCTCCTCCACGCCTCATCCTCAGCATTCCTATACATCGAACCCCTTCTTCACTCCTCCCAGTATTTCGTCCACTCCTCCAGTTGCCCTTCCACACCCCTCCATACCTCCTCCTCCAGGCCCACTTCGGCATTTTACTTGGGTAGGAGATTTTGTAAATATTTCATTAAGTTAGGGAAAATGCGTTTTAACCACTTAACCTAGGATAGATGTGTGTGTCTACTGCCATGTAACAGGGAATAGGTGTGTGTGTGTGTGTGTGTGTGTGTGTGTGTGTGTGTGTGTGTGTGTGTGTGTGTGTGTGTGTGTGTGTGTGTGTGTGTGTATGTATCCTAGATTACACCTGTAAGTGCTGGAACCTGAGTCATTAGTTAGAGTTATATTGTGGAGATAAGGACGTCCTAGGCGATAATGCAATCAGAGTGGGCGTGGCAGGGAGGTGGTAGGCATGGGAGGTGGTAGGGGCAGGGAGGTGGTGGGTGGTATGGAGGTGGTAGGCATGGTAAGGGAGGTGGTAGAGGTGGCAGGAGGGTAGGCATGACAGGAGGTGGTAGGCGTGGTAGGAAGGTGTTAGGGGGTGGCAGGGAGGTGTTAGGCGTGGCAGGGAGGTGGTAGGCATGACAGGGAGGTGGTAAGCATGACAGGAGGTGGTGGGCATGGTAAGGAGGTGGTAGGGGTCGCAGGGAGTGGTAGGCGTGGCAGGAGGTGGTGGGGATACAGGGAGGTGTTAGGGGTGGCAGGGAGGTGGTAGGCGTGGTGGGGGTGGCAGGGAGGTGGTAGGAGTGGTAGGAAGGTGGTAGGCATGGTAAGGAGGTGGTAGGGGTGGCAGAGAGGTGGTAGGCGTGGTAGGGAGGTGGTAGGCATGGTAGGAAGGTGTTAGGGGTGGCAGGGAGGTGGTAGGCGTGGCAGGGAGGTGATGGGGGTGGCAGGGAGGTGTTAGGCGTGGCAGGGAGGTGGTAGGCATGACAGGGAGGTGGTAAGCATGACAGGAGGTGGTGGGTGTGGTCGTGGCGTGGATCCTGTCATTGGTGCTCTGACCAGCTAATGCCTCTGCGTTTTTCAATTTGTTGTTATTTTTATATTTTTATATCTATGGCATTTTGAGCTACGAGTCTGTTAGAAAGACAAATAGCTGCTTAATTTTATATTATTATACTGTATCAGTTGTATTATTTACCTATGTAAATTTATTAAATAACTTTTTGTCTCTTTAAAACTCTTTGTCTTGTATATCTTTATGTGTCCCTGATCGTATCCATCTATTTATATATTTGCCTGCCTATTTATTATCTATTTATCCACATATGTATATAAAAAAACAGTTGACAGGAGGGAGTAGCGTGACTACTTCACTAATGACACTCAACCTGGCGTTCACTATAGTGGACTGGCGAACTGCGTTGACTTTCTCTCGTAATTTCACTCTAGTCCGGCTGTTGCTGTCTAATACATGTCATACGCCCATACACCCAACTCGATTCGCATAATGAATGTTCATCTGAACTGATACAGTGAGACTACACCTAACTGGCTAATTTAGGCTAAAAGACAACAAATTTTGTATAAAAATAACACTCAGGTTACTCCGAGGCTTAGTGTTCACTAAAAAAATCAGAGGAAAAAGTACCATTCAGAGTTTGTTGAGAGACGGCATTTTAAACTTTTGCTTATCTGGATGTATATTGGTCTACCTCGTTAATGTAGTCTAATTTTAATACAGATTTTGTAAATTATTTTTGCGCTTTAGCCTTACTTTAATAAGTGCACTCGTACATCTTCAGTTACGAGAAAGTCATCGTGCAAACTTAGAAAATTTGGCACTGTATGTCGTGTTTTGGTTCCCTTCTTGGGATATATCGCTTCGTCCATTATCTCTAGGTATTTAATTATTAATCGTCTTATATGTTCTTAAATATTTGCGAAAACTTATCTATTTAAAAGCTCCAATGTATTTAAGGAACATCTGAGCTACAGTAGCAAGTACGCCATGGGTTTGCTGCGTCCTTTGGCGATTTAAAACAAATCAACAGTGTAAATAAACTCACCTTGCAAGTTTCCCAACTCGTGGTTCACTCTGGTAACACTGGGGACGACGGTGCCTCTGGTGGTACGGTAGTCAACAACAGCCAGATGTCAACATGCTCACTCGCCTGATTTTGCCTCATAATTTTGGAATCTTCAGGAAACTATGATTTAGTGCGCCGTTTCGCTCGCTGGCAGACATATGAAAAAAGGTAAGAGAACTTGAGTTACTATACTTTCAATTAGAAACACTAAAAGCTAAGATTTAAACGCGTTTGCTGTCTAGTTTTTACTTTTTTTATTATTATTTATTGGGCACTCCCCTACATCCTTGTGTAAGGTGAAGCGCAGAAGCGTTTACAGCGCCCAACAGTTCATGCTTGCCTTTATGTCTCATGAGTTAAGGGCGTAGAAGCCTGAAGAGTCAATGGTTTGTGTCATCAAGTTATTGGAAGCTCCAACAACTTGTCCCTGAATACGAATTCGCAACTTTCGACTTACACCAGGTACCTACTTTACTACTAGGTGAACAGGGACTAATGGGGGCTAGGAAGTGTGTCCAAACAACTTCCACCGGCCCGGGAATCGAACCCGTGACATCTCGCTTGCGAAGGCAAGAGCGGTACCACTCTACCACCAGCACCCCAACTAGTTGATACTGTGAAAACATCCGATATTTTTGCAGCAGAAATATTTGAGGCCACTATTATTACTACTAAATTAATAATCCCAACATAGTCAATGTTCAGCAATCAAATATACTGTAGTGTTGTCATAGTTTGTAACTGCATGTAAACGCTCGTTTTCGCTTGCACTGGCTTTATGCAGTTTATTTTTATTTTTGTTTACTCCCTCCTGTTAACAGTAAGCGTCTACGTTTTTGTCGCGATGTATGGATGTGCTGTGAATATAATTTAATGTTCAGGAGGGAAATGCTGTGCAATATACGTATATTATTTAAAAAGTATAACAAGATTTTTTTGTGAATTAGTGTGATACTACTGGTTACTAGCTTAATGACTATAGTTAAAGTGCAGTAATAACATTATAGTATCAACATATCGGCCATTGTGCTCATTATGAAATATAGATGTGCTTTTGAGGCGGTCAGTGATATGAGTAAGGTGTGACACAGAATGGGTATATGTTATGATTGTAGTAACTGGATTGTGCCAGTGCTATTTCTGTACTTTTAAGAAACAAACTTTAGTGATTTAGTGTATTTCTTAGCTTTGGTAGTGGAATTTTGTTCAGTTGTGTGACAAAAAATACTTCGGTGAAATTTTGTTTGATGATATATATATATATATATATATATATATATATATATATATATATATATATATATATATATATATATATATATATATATATATATATATATATTTTTTTTTTTTGTCATCAGAGGGAAGGTGCAACAAACAGGTGGTGGGGCAAATTTTGAGAGAAGCTTCCCTTGCTTTCCTGTCACCCATGTGTAAACATCGAAGGCGTCCGTCGTTATCTTGACTCAGCAGCTCTCACACCCTCCACCCACCACCAGCCCACCACTGATCCTGCACCACAGCAGTACAGTGAGAAATAAAATCTTCCTTCAGCCAAATTACTACAGGCACCAGGTATATAAGCAGAAGTATTGTACAGTACATTACATAACCCAGATATGATTGGCAGCATAGTTAAAGACGACGAAAGTGCCATAGTCTAGATATGAATGGAAAAAATATGTAAAAAACATGTGTTGGTAACATACATTGTCAGTACTGTGGTGTACACCGACATGCAAGGAATATGACGACAGGCCTCGGGACGCCAGGGTTACTATTAGCTAGATTTTCTGTGTACCTAAGAATTTTGAAAATTAATTTAAAGTGGGTTACTAAAATTATCTAGAAGATGGTGGTTAAAACGCGTCGATATTTCACTAATACAGTACTGTAGTAACAAGATGCATCCTTCCATTTAGATTGATAGTACCATATGGAGCGTATGCTAATATAAAAAAATAAAGTCCTTAAAGATACACAGACAAATCTGAATATCTCGGTTCAGTTTCCTACGGAATTAAGAAGTATAATAAGCAGCACCATATAAATAAACCAATACTAATACAAAGGTTCTGACGACCCGAGGGACCAAAACAAAGATAAAAAAAACAATAGATAAGATGAAACGATCTGGTTGAGCCCAGAGTCTTTCTACTCCTACTGTATTTCAGTTTCACCCTTTTCTTCAATCCCTAATAATCTTCTTTCACCTTATAACTCATAACTCCAATGCCAATGTTTCCTACATTGCATCATGTAAGAGTTTGTGAAGATGCTATGCTTTGTTATAGCTGGGAGTGAAAATTACAATTAGTGGATTACGTATACGAGTTAGTAACTGAGGCAAACCCAGACAAAGTAGACTGCATGACTGACTCCAGATAGGCAGATCATTCATTACTTCACATTGCCCGCCACTTACCGACTTCTCTTGAGATTAGCCATTAATTTCCTGACTGGGTGACCACACCTTTTTTTTTTTTATCCAACGACCACAATATCTTGTAGTTACCTTGTCGAGAGAAGGAAGCCTGTTTTAAGGCTCCTCTCATTTTCCTGGTGTCC